AAACATATCTTCAGAAAACATGCCTCTTGGTGATTCAACAGTTACCTAAAAAAAAACAATTAATCATATATAAGCATAAGGATGTCGGAAATTATCCTGAATGCCATTTTCCTGAAAGGACATTTTCTCAAAAAGTTCAGTCTAATTATAGTAACTCTGTTTAAGGTTTTTGGGAAAATGTCCTTTTGGAAAAATGGCCTTCGGAAAAACATACTGTAACCTACATAAGTAATTATAATCATAAAATCTGATCTATACCTGTTGCTTAAGTTCATATTCCAAATTAGATAGATGATATTGATAATGCATGCTGTGATTCATTTCATGTCGTTGGAGTTTAAGAATTGCCAGTGTTAAGAAATATTGATATGATATGTCAACTTCTTTAAAGTAATGATTATGATAATCTTCATCTTGACTCACAGGAAGCTTACCAATAGTTTCATTTAACTTTATAAATTTGCTCTCTTTTGCTAATAACCTCTCAATTGTATACTCAAGCTACGTAAGTAAAAATGACCCATTAACATTGTTTTTAATAATACTATTGTATGACTCTACGCGTTGTGTACTTTGTATTCTGGTATTAAATGCACAGTATGTAAAATACAATACCCAAGCCTCTCTACATGGATAAAGATAACGTTGCAAATAACTAGTGGTATCAGGATATTCCTGCAACAATGCAGCCCATCTCTCTTCAAAAATTGATTCAACTCGATTATTGCGTGCATAACAAAAGCTGCAAAAAATTTGTTCCATTTTTCATCATGATACTTGCTAAGAAAATGCTTTTCCAAGTTTTTTCTAATATGAAATAAACAAAAATGATGTTTTGTTATTGGTCAGGTGTTGTTTATTGCTGCAATCATCATGGGATCAGTATCTGTATAAAGTAAGGATGGTGTTAATCCTCCTGTTACTTTGGAAAGACTCATGAATAACTATGAAAAGGTGTCTTTTGTTTCATTTGACACTATAGCGGTTGCTGCAAGGCGGGAGCAATTGTGATTATCTACCAATATTACAACACACAAAATCATTGAATAACGATTTATTTTTGCTGTTGTATCAAGTAAAATTATATCATGAAAACGAGCTCACAATTCTTGTTGGCTTAGACGCATCCAACAAAGTCCAACAAGATGATTATCCTGACCTTCAAAACGTGCATCAACATGAAATGTTGGATTTTCCTGCTGCTGATTCATAAGTGCAAGATACATCGAATCAGCATCACTTGTAGTTTGATTTTTATGTCAGATTGTTTGAATCAAATTGTAAACATTACGGAAATGAATGTATTTATCTGGATATTTATACTGCAAAACTTCAATAATTGCACCAGCACGCACCCCACAAGTAGCGAGAAGTGCTATGTCATCACGCATTTCTGGAGTAAGCTTACGATACAAGGGAGACTATTCTAATATTTTCCACTAATTCGTGATTATGCTCACCCTCAACCTTTGTAATGTGAACGAGATTATCCTTTTTTCGACGGTAAGCATTAATATGAAACTTGCAATTATTTGTATTATGTCCTCTATTACGATTTTCGTTTGTATGTGCTTTTTGTTGATTATATATTTGACTTTTTGAGCATGCATAAATACAATGTCAAGGAAAACCATCATCCTTATTTTTATCACTGTGGGTAATCGTAAATACAAAGCCTTGTTCTAATCCATGATTTTCAAACCATCTTAATAAAACAAAAAAGTTCTAATATTATTATACAGGTATAAATAATATGACATAACTTCCTAGCATACTTACTCATCAAGTTTTTTTCAGTTTGCGAAAGTCATATCCGGCATAACAGAGTACAATGGTTCAATATTTTCAACTTTTTCGTAGTTATTCTCAAAAAACTCACTTAAAGACTCTTTCTCATTTAAAACAAATGATTGTGTGTCGTCAGCTAAAATGTTAAAAGTATCTTCTGATGTTCCAGATGGGTCAAAGTCATTGACACCATCATATTCATCTTCAATATGAAGAAATAGTGTAAAGGAAAAGGAGTGGGAAGACATGACTAATATAATTAAATGTAAACGGTAAGTGATGAGTAGTAGGTAAGTGATGCTAAACATAAATAGTGTTAAAGTATTGAAACATTCAATATAAAGAGAGCGAAAAATATGTTTAATTACCGTAATTTCTAATTGCTTGACTTTGCTTTATGCCAAATAAGAGATATCGTTATAATTAAAATTCTCGTTACTATGAAATTTTAAATGAAATAACGCTAAGAAAATTATTATTTCATAAAGTCAAAAAAATCAGTTTAAATTCGAAAACCAACAAGTTTGACTACTATCAAAAAAAAAAAGTTATAAGGAACGGAGGAAATGAAAGTATAAGGAATGAAGAGAGTGAGAAAAAAAAAACTTTAAACATATGAAAGTGATACACAAATATACATTTAAAATTTAAGTTTTGTATCAAAACTGATTATCTGATATCAATAAAGTTTATTTGCATAACACATCACGTACTGCGCTAGCACATGTCACGTCTTCCGATTGGACAATAAATAATAATAATCATGTGATCACATGATATGATGTTGAACACCACGGTGTGGTTTATAATTCCTGATTATTAATATAATAAATTATTATTTCAAGATAACAATCTTTTAGATCTGATGTCCATATGTCTGTTGTGAGAGATATTTTTGAATTAATTTGTGAAATTTCGCCTATTAAATCATTTCTTTTTGTATCATAATTTTTTATAAATTTTTCTTTTAAAATTTGTCTACATGGTAAAATAAATTAAAAATTCAACTTATTAATAAACAATTTGAATTCAGTATTTTTAACAATAGAAAAAAGTTGTAAATCAGTTGCAATAAAATCAATCAATAAATTTGTGATAGAGTTGGATTGTGATAAAGAATAGGATTTGAAGAGTATTTTATTTAAAGCAGTGTTGGTCATGCAAAGACCAATAGACCAAATTACCATAGGGTCTTTTGGTCTAGATCATTTAGTCTATTCATAATTTGTTAATAGATCATTGAATGACTCAGGTCTATTGAAAAATCACGTGATTTTAAAATAAGTATATAAAATTAATAAAAATACTCATCAAATATACAGGAAATTTGACGATCTTTCAGAATTT